CACATGCTTTATTCATCATGCATTATTTTTTACAAAGCCATTATGTTTTATACAGTATAATTGTGGAGTTGATTTAAATAATAAAAAAAACACAGAGTTTTTTTAATGGAGTTGTTGAACTGTGTTTAACTACATAAAAAATTAGCATAAAGCTCAGGATTAAATTATCATCACAACATTTTAACATGAAATGTATTGTAGGATATCTTGATTGGCTTTGTAACTTATATTGCTTAAAGCTCTTATACCGGTCTACTAATTAATTAACCAAGACAATACTAATTAGCCTTCTATAAGTTCTAGCAAATTGTTCCAACAACTGTGTTTCAGTGTAAGCAGACAAATATAAATTGGAAGCAATTACACATATTGTACATACTGTATATTATGTTACATAATGCATATACAGTAGTGTTACATTCACTTTCCACTTATTTAATTTCATGTTTGGTTCGGACTCCATTATATATCCTCTGCAGTATTTGGTTCACTGTTGTTGATTTGTCTCACATGGTTGTCAAGCTAAAGTTTTTTTTTATTTCAAGGACGATAGATTTTGAACAAAACTGAATGAGAAGAAATGATACTTGGAATTGTATCATCAATGTGGTGTTTTAAGAGTGCTGTATCATGCAGCAGAGCTGTATGTAAGCACTCTGTGGCCTGACTCAAACAGAAATGGACTTGAGACCACAAGGAACTAACAAAATACAGAACACGTTATTTTTTAATGCAACATAGAATTGTCAATCTAGACACTGATTCAAATATTAAATGTTAATAGGGGCTCTGTGGTGGCTCCACCACATAAGGTGGTCATTTGGGGCATGAGATGAGCCCTGAAGTCCATTCATCAGACTAGGCAACCTATTGTGACTGAGATTCTCCAAGGGCACAAACACAAACAGAGCACAGAGCACAAACAACCAGACACCACTGAGTTAGTGATGTAGTTTAGTCAGCTAGGGAGTCCTCAGATACCTGCACAGCAGTGATCCCTGGGACCTGCTGGATACCTCTGTGCTAACAGTGTTTTCAGTGGCATTACTTCTCCAACAGATACTGTATTAGATGTCACTGGGAGGGTTGCAGTGTGGAAAATGGGCAATGGCTCTCGCAGTTTGTCTGTCCCAGGAAAACATACTCTACACTCCCCCTTCTGTGTTGGATTGAGGCTGGCTGCAGTAAGCCAAGGTCCTTGTCAAATTCTAATTTGGGGGGTTATAAAAAGAAAATTATTAGGAAAAAAGTGAATAAAATAACATAATTTAGTGACAATTTTTATTTTGACTTGAGGATTTCAGTCTAGACCCACTATGACATTTGCCAAAAACAATTGGCAGCTGAAATGCTGAAAAGTATAGGACAGTTAGGGACATGAAGTACTGTACTCTGCATATCCAAAGCTTCAGAACACAGGAACGAGAAACAAAATTCTGTATGTAATTCATATTAAATTTTATAAGGTTGCAAAAGGTGTATGTTTTGAGAAATATCAGTGTTTCTTTTCACTCTGGCCTTATAAAGGAACATGATGGATTTTACCACTCCCTAAAGGCAGAGGTTAAGATAAATGTCAATCAGAAATGTGCTCCACAGGCTACTTGTCATCATCCATTTTGGGGCAGATTACTCCTTTTTTAAGCTGCTCAAGGCAGGTCATAAACTATTAAAACATTCACTGCTCTTTAGCTACTGTATCTTGCAATGTTGCAAAGCATAATGTCTATCTTATACAACAAGCTCTGAAAGTTTTCATCAAAACTAAGTCAAAGCATGTGAAACAGTTATGCTTTCTCATTAAAGAAGGAGAGATTTTAGTGGTTCAACACTTAAAAAAACATTTTAAGAATCCCTCAATTATTCCATGGTATGTGCATTCATTGTATTGTCCTCTCAAAAGCTTTATAACAGCATTGCGTAATTGCTAGTTTTCAAACAATTTTTTCTTCACCTTTTGGACAAATTGCTTTTTCTTTCATTTGACACTAAACATACATTTAATCAGGAATTTGGGAAACAGGCTCAGACGTGCTTGAAATTTGTTTATGTTTTGAATTACACAGAAGGTATTCTGCTCATTAAAAACTGTGTGAAGCATTGTCAAAAAAAAACTCAGAGCTGACCAGTGTGTGAAAACAGTGCATCACTTTTTATATCGCACCACTTTCTCATTTGCTTCAGCCTTGTCAGCTTCATCACAAAATTATTCTGACAGTCACTCGACGGTGAGCTTTCTCTTCCATCAATATTCAAGCAACGGAAAGTTTTCCCACTTTTTTGGCACACTTGCAGTAAATAAATAATGAAAGAAAGTAAGCACTTTAGTGTTTCTATCTCACTGAGTGTCTCTGAACTTTGGCACCATTGGCTGCTTTGGCCTAGTGTTTCTTTAACTGCTGCAAGACAGACAGACGGCTCTCACTTACAGTATACCGTATATCATTTTTAATTCGTTCAGAGGATGGTAGAGTATTTCACATTGTTGCTTTCATAAAATCACAATAACTCCACTATCAGCTGATGTAATGTATTTTGTATACATGTTTAACATTTTATTTTAACTAGAGCATTGTGTAGATTGCCTAGCATAGTTGCTATATTTGTAATGATTCCATCTAAGTACTCCTTGTAAATCACATGCCATTGCTCAAGTTCGAGCTTTGACTAATGCAATTTGATTATGCTTTCTATTATTCGAATTGATCATTTATTACTTATTCGCATTTATCAAATCGTGTAAGCAAGCAATAAATAAAAGTGGGGTGGATCTTTAAGCTGTGACTAGTGGAAATGTTGTACCTTGTTTAAAAATCTAGCTTGTGCACCCAAGACTCCAGATTGTGCTCAGAATTCCTTTCACTTCACGTAGACGTGCCTTCTACAGCTTGTTTCACATGCTATAAGTGCAGAGATAAAGCAAAACAACTTGTACTAGTCGCCTACTAGTGTCTCAGCAAGGTCATGTGCTTGAAATCTTTCTATTGTGGTCACAGGAAATGAATAAGGACGGCTATTAGTGATGATTCCTGTGATATTAAAATGTTCTCATAATAGTTTGTGAATTATAAAATGTCCCTTATAATTGTTTAGTGATATTCCATGGTTAAAGCACTCTTAAACCTAATAAAGCACAATACCAATAGAATAAAAGCATAGCATGGGGAATTGTGGTAAGACACATTTTATGGACAACCATGGCAAAACAAACGGATGACAGAAGTATAGTAAAACCATGGAAAAATAAGACATCTAAATGTACACATTTACTGTACTGAATTTCCGAAAGGTATGGCATGGGCACTGTTTGGGCACTATAGAAATTCAAATTATCCCAATCAAGCCTACAAAAATAAAATCTTGTGACCACTTAGTGTACTGTAATAAGATTAGGGTGAATTTTAAAGAAGGGGGTAGATTTGCAGAAAGGTAGCTATAAAGTGAAATAAAATCAAAGAATAAAAAGCTTCATCAATGCATAATCTGAATAGGGCTAAGCTTTGCTCTTTCACAGAATGTTATTATTACTATGAAATTAAGAGGGCAACACAGTTGTGCGGTGGTTAGCACTGCCAGCAGGTTGTATTCTGGGGCGTTATCTCTGTAGAGTTTGTTTGTTCTTCCGGTGTTTGCGTGGATTTCCTCTGGGTGCTCTGATTTCCTCCCACAGTCCAAAGATACGCTGGTACAGTAGTTTAATTGGCTTCTATAAAAATTACAATGCTGTGAGTGTGTGCATATTTACGTCTAAGCATGCCTGGAGATGGACTGGTGTCCCATCCAGGGTGTATCCTGCCTTGCGCACAATGATTCCTGCAACAGGCAGCAGGCAACCGTGATCCTGAATTGGATAAGCAGTATTACAATTGCTGTGATGTGATCAAACTAAGTTTTGGACTCATTCAAAACTTTGACTCGCACAGCAAACACAAATACCAAATTCCAGTTATTAGGGATTACCAACCTGAAGGGCGGGTCATAATTTGAATTCAATCAGGGTTTAGCACAAAGGATAGGCTGTTGCGGTGAAAAATGATCCTTATATATGAATATACAGTAACAGCAATAGCAAATGTGAAACTCTGGAACAGGGTTATTCACTCAGTGTCCTGGAGAGCTGCAGTCTAACAGGTTTTATATGTAATTTTCAGTATAGTTCCCAATGAGTGAAGACCTGCAAACAGTGGTCATAATGACCAGTTACGTGAACAACTGATTTAAAACAAGTCATTAAGATTTGAGAGTGGAAGGAAAACCAGAAGACAAGGTGGCCCTCCAGGATGGCGAGTGATTATCAGTGTCCTAGAACACAGTCCATTCAAGAATCTATGGCCTGTATGCAAAGGCTGACATAAAAGGCAGCCCTGCATTTAAATTTTCATGCCACAGTGGAAAACTGACGCCAGTCTACTGAGACGCACTGAACCTTCCTCACCAGTGATGAATATTGATACTGATATTGATACTGATTCCTGATCGCAATTTAAGTTTATTCTGAGGACTGCAAAATTCACCTTTCTTAATAACAACCCCCACAGAGCACAGCCTAAATTGGGAGCTCAATGAGGCAAACTGCCCTCTCTGAGTATTTATCATCCTGTAAGCTAGTCAATCTTTCCACAGATTTACACAGTTTTGAGAAGGCAATATCCAGAGCAGAGCAAGGAGCACGTATGATCTTTTGGTGCCTTGTCATCTCAACATCTACTTTTGCTAAAACGCTCACTTTGAACACCAGACACAAGAAATCTCCTCCCTTTTCTGATCAGCAAGTTGAAAACTGGAGCAAAATTCACTCTCTATACACATATGATGGCATGATTGCAGTCTGAGCAGGAAAAACCTGACACATTTCACCTTACCACCTCCTGAGCTGTAAGTGTCATGATACCATAGTGAATGAATTTAAAAAACATTCACTGCCAGGGAGTTTGCTGTAGTACCTCTTTGGTAATATAAGTTATTGAGCATTGGATGAAGACAACAGAAAGGCAATTTGCTGGAGATCATCATGAGTGTTTAATTTTACACGTGGGAATAAAAATGTCCATTGTTCATTAACATCAAATACTTTTCTAGATTTTTTCCTTCTTTTTTATTTAACACATAAAAGCATCACAACAACAATATACAAATTTTCAGTAATCTTTAAACCAAAACACATTTATACATGCAACAACAGGGTTTAAGACAATGAGTAACTTATTAAATAATTTATTTGGAATGTGTACTTTAGCTTCACTTCAACACATTAATGCAGGTCACGTTTATCTCTGCAGTGGGAAGAAACACAGAATCCTTTATTTTCAGGATAAATTGTCAGATATTTATACCATACTGTACCATTAGAGAAAGCTAAAATTGTAATACTTTCATGTAAATCGAATTCCTTTACCGGTATTTCTACCTACCTTTCAGACAGTTTCTAACCTGTTGTATGAAAAAAGGTGGAATAAACCCACCAGTTACACCAGATGTCTGTCATCTGATAATTAAATTCTTTTAACCATCTAAGTGAATTATAACATTGTTTTTCTGAACGTGATTCTTTGTTCCACACATGCCTGTTGAATTTATACAGTATTTTTGTTCAGTGTCACAGGAATATGTAGACAGAAAAAATAAAGGATCTCTCACTGCCGCACTGTATGTCTTGTGCTGAGAAAGGGAATAATTATGATCTTTCTACATAAGTGCAACTCATCACACAAGACAATGTGCCCTGTTCTGCTACACGCGGAGTAACTCAAGAAATAAACTGGACCACTTCAGTTGCCTTCTTTCTGTGTATCAATTATGAAACAGCTCATTAAATAAAGAAGACCTGCTCTCAAGATTCTATAAAGGCAAGGGCCACATACATGTATGGTATAAAAAAACCAGAAAACTCAATGAATTAAATTAGAGTAAATATATAGGGAGGAAATTAATCAACTCAAAAATTATTGCTCCGAATCTAAAAGCGCAGTGTGTTGTAATAAGATGCTAATCCTTGTGGCCTGTTTTTTTTTTTATTTTGTCATGATTGTCTTTTGAGTCCATTACGTAAGAGTGACTGTTTCTCTGCACAGTCAGAACACTGAAACACATTCATTGACACCAAAGTATACATGATACTGTCCAAAGGTACATTATTACACGGAAAAGGAAATTACAGAGTTAAACCACCACCAAAATGTTTTTTTTTTCTTATATTTCTTCTCCAAAAGATGGACTGGGGTCTACAACCCCAGACAAGTGCTTTCAGCGCCAAGCCAGCATGTTACCTCACATCAGACTGCAGGTGTTTTGTGATAGCTGGGAATCTAGAAGAACCACCTGAAGGCTTCGCCGCCAGTGACAGGAGTCCGCTGCAGAATGAGGAAACAGCAGCAACAGCAAAGATAGAGAGAGACAGAAGACAACACAAGGTTAGTGATAACAGAGCAGAAGCAGGTCTCAACACTTTAAAGTATTTGCCGGTTGTTCTACATTATTGTATTTGTTAAAGAAATCCCAGAATGACAAGACACTGGGCGTTACATCCTGAATTGCAAACTGCACTCACTGGATTAACAAGGCAAAAGCCACGTACAGTATTCTTAACATTTTCAGTCCTTGATGGCTATAGAGTCTCCCAAACTGATTGCACCATAGCCAGCCTGCTTTTTCTTGGCGGATATTAGTAGTATCTGATAGTAACGTTCCTAAAAAGACAAGAAAATGCGTGTCGACACCTATTATTTTATTTACAAGTATTATGTTTAAATGAAAATATTCGGAGGGCTCCTATTATTTAATCATTTTGAATAAAGCATTTCAATCAGTGTGTTCATACTTAAACTAGTTCACTATGTTAAGTTTAGTACAAAAACTGTTTTTGTTGCAAAAATTGTCTCTAAGAAATAGCTACAAAGATACTTAAGTGTGTGAATCCAGAGGGAAATGCATAACATTTACAGTTTACTCCTCACATATAGGCCATAGAATCCAGGAACACATATTTAATGATCTTCTGATTATTTTATTTTAATTGGCCTTGTACTTATAGTATTTTAGACACAATCCTCAAAACACCTTGAGCTAAAAAATCTACTATTTAAGTACAGTGGCTAATACAGAGTATAGCATGTCTTTTTGATATGAAGGCAAACCAAGTCTAAAGGTGAAAAGGAAGTTTTCAAGTCTGAACAATGATTTAGGAGTTACAATATTAAAAAGCAAAGCCCCTCCAACCCCCCCAAGATCAGAATCTTTTATTGGATGATAGGAAAATAATCAAAATCAAAAGATAAGATAAATACATGTATTCCATCACCAATTATCCAAAACAACTCTCAGAATGCAAACTGCATTAAGGGGCCTTGATGGACTACTTTTTTATTGATGAGACAAATTAATGTTCAGGCAATGGGTTAAAGGTGTTAGGATATAGAGCTAAACTGTGCAGTTTATACCCTGCAAAGGTGCTTTAAAATTGGCAATTTAGAAAAATGACTGCATTTACCTCTGGAATCCAAAGGTAAATGGCAAATGAAATTTTCCAAATCTTGAAAGGTATTGATGAACTCAACCCAACTTATGTCTTAAACTTCAACCAGCAGTGAAACATTGCTCAGAGAACACATATGGGAAAAACCAGTTTATGACAGAGAGGAGAGGGCTCGTCCTTACACAAAGGATTGTGGGAGCCCAGAAGAAGTGGTTCCCTATGTTGCTGAAGCTGATGCCCTGCAATCCTGGCCATATGAGATCCTTCATTAGCAACAAGCAGCCCAATTAACAAGAAAGGCCAAAAGGCCTTTTCTCATTTGTAACTCTTCAAATCCGCTTAGAAGACATTCCTAATTCACTAACAAATTAAATGAACTGGAACTCTTTAGTGTTGAATTGAGGCGACTACTTGGGAGACATTATAATTTATATACTAGAAAGCTATTGATAAAGTCATACCAGTTAACCTTTTCAGGATTAATAGTGAGGCAAAGATACAAAGGGATACAAAGGCAAAATGGAAAACTAAAAGGAAGTATATTTAGGACTGAAAACATGAGACAATGAATTAGACAAAGAGTGGAGAAGAAAACTACTGGACCTGGCTATGAAAGCTATTTTCCTGGGATCTTTCAAGGAACTTCAAAAACATTCATGGATCACTAAGAATACTGTATTACAGACTCAATGATAAGACTTGGGCTTAATGGCCACTTCTCTTTGTAATCTTTCCTATGCTACATCTGTAGAATTCGTACAACAATAAAAAATACATTAAGGAACGAAAACAGATGCTTTTTTTCGGCATTCTTATGGTCTACTTCCAAAAGGCAAAGTGTAATCAATGAACAACATTTATAGAATCTCTGACTTTGTTTTTTCGAATTTACTCAATATTTACAATATTTACTGTAAGTACCAACAGCAACAGCAGAAGCATTAACAATAGCCATACCCCTATCATTCTCAAAACCATAACAAATAAAAAACGGTATGAAAATTAGATACTATATTGATGAGAAGAAGATTGAATTATTGTTCTACACAAGCAATATCCATATTAGCTTCCTCCAAATACAGTATTTCTAGCAGTTCTCATTATAAAGATGTTTGTAGCCTTGAGTCTACTCAATACTATGAATAACTTTGCCCCTGAAGATGTTACCATATGGTAAAAACCTTGCTCATGGATACTTAAGAGTTAAATACAACAGCTTATGTTACCTTTCATTACCAAGATAAATCAAATCCTTCATTTTATGTTTAACTAAGGCTTTCAAATATTGACTTGAAGGAGATCAACAAACTTATACCTAGATCTAGATATGAAAATCAAATGAAAAACAATAGACATACAGTAATTAACTGCATGACCTTAGAAAGGCTTTATAACTTTTTTGTGTAGGAGAACATGCACCTTGTTACCACATAGATTGGTATGGGATTTTCAGTCAAAATATTACAGAAATCTTTCCGGACTCAATTTTCTTTTGAAAAAAGATTGTACATTCTCTAGATGTCTAGAAAAAATCACAATGGCTATAAATGGAAAAAAAAAGAGTTAACATACTCTGTCAATATCTACCCATTTCAACCTGAAATGTGTCCTGTATACAAATAGGTAGGTGTGTCCTCTGAACGCACAGAGCAGTGACTCACCGTGCCATTAACACCATCTCCAAGTGCTCTTGAAACAGAGCAGAAGGAAAAACCTGCATGTTTTACAGAAATATTTTATGAGGTGTCTTGATAAAGATTGAAACAAAAAAATGAGCTTATTAAGAGACAAAGTCTCCACTCACATTTTTGTGCTTTTAATAAGGATAAATGTGTGCACAGAAATACAGCTATTAAAAACGTACTCAAATGTTAAATTCTGACCCCCTCTCCTTTATAACATTTCTATTGTTCTTACTTGCTTAGGTTCACAGTAATTCAGATACAAATATAAATACAAATAATAGCCTGAAAGACTAGAATAGATATACTGTATAGCACTTATTTCCTTTCATTAAAAAAAGAAGTTACATTATACCTATGATATATAGTAGTGTAATACAATATGTGTCTTTTCTATTTAAATTTTCGAATGTGAAAAAGCCTCAGGAATAAAGAAGATCTCATTTAACTACTGTATAGTATATCACTGGAAAGTACGGTGAGGTGTTACAACAGTTAAAATGATTATAATGAACCATACAGTACTAAATTTGTATTTTGTGTACATACCAATATTGGTCATTTCTAGGACACTGCAACTTGTCCTAGAAGGTTTTTAGTACTAGATTAGTAATACTTCAAATACTGTACTTTTGGCTACAGATTTTAGATTATTTCAACCTCCTGCTAGGAAGCCAAATGTGCTATACCTCTGCTAAAAGGAGATTTCCCATTACATGTTTGTAGACATTGCTTTCATATGAACTGTAGGCAAACTAGTTGTGAGCCTTTCTAGACCATAGGTCTGTATTACCTCCACCATTAAAAGAATGTGCTTAGAATTGCACATTTGACTCTGACTGCACATAATTTCTCCATGATATGCACCTGGTATGGGGGGATGCTTCAGAGAGGAAAGAAGTCTCATGTATGGCTTCAGTGTGAGATTTCAAACACTTCCAATTTAGTTCTTTGCAAGGAAAATCTCAATATTCTGCTTGTTATCCAGAGTCACTACGCTTCTGTCTTCAAAAGTCTCTTACATCTAATCAGGTACCCTTTTAACCACCTCAGCAGTTCCTAAAAGCTCTTCCTACCTCTCTGTGAAGCTAACAAATGGTGAAATGGGTAAAAAGTTAAACTATAGAGAATAGAGTTTGCATTCATGCTATGGAAAAAAATACAGACTCCAGTTCAGTCAATCATTATTTAGGCAGCAAACCTGCATCAGCCAGTTAAAACTTGGATGATAGATTAGAGCCCATTCATTCTCTTTCAGAAGCTTCCCTTAGAGGAATTGTAGAAACTGTTGTTATACTGGGTGTGACAGTCAGTGATACTGGTCAACATAGCTGGAATCTTTTCGGCTTGTCCTCTAGTGTAAGGAAGAGGCTGTGAAAAAGAGTTCTGTTTATTTTGATGAGGTGCTTTTATTTCTATAAAATCGTTTTTGCAAATGTGTGATCATTTTACACAGTCCATCAACACACACTACCTGCTCTGTCTTGGAAATCCTAACTAAAATGTTTAATCAATATCAAAGTAAGGGGTGGATGGCTTATCCATTTTCCAACAGTAATTTCTTAAGTTTTCTTACCTTCAGGGCCTATAGATGGGTGTGGCAGTCATTACTTCTATTATCAGCAAGGTCTCTATCTTGGTTTCTTATTCTAAGGTACCTTTGTCTCAACAAACATACAGAAAATGTGCCTACCACATACTTAAATTTCTTTGAGGCACATGAGTGTGCCTTGTAAATTTAGATGACCATCTCATCTGAGTGGTCCCATAGTCTCCTAGGAGTTGTAGTTCTTCACATCCTTGATGAACCAAGAAAAACTACAATTCTCCCAGGAAAAATTATAATAAAAGGCAGTGTCTACAGACTCATTAAGGGAAACTTCCTTTTAGCAGAATCATAGTATGTTTTGCTTGCTCCCAGGATTTGCTGTAGGTTGAATTCCCCGGCCAGAAGGTTTCAAACATAATACTAAAAACCTTCTAATACAATGTCCACTAGCTCTGGAATCTATTACTATGGATTGCTATGGACACAAAATACAAATTCAGAACAGTATAGTTTAATATAATTAAAGTTACACCTCACCATACTTAGATGTTAGCATTAATTCTGAGCCTTCTTCAAGTGAGTGTCACTTTTGCAGCTCATACACTGATGCAGTTCCATATTCAAACTTCTATATAAAGGGCAGATATT